ATTATTATTATTATTATTATTATTATTATTATTATTATAGTAAGGAATTCTCAGGATGAAATCTGAGTCCTGCAGGTAATGCAAAACAATACAGTTTTACAAAGCCCATTGGTATTACCATTCTATTTTAAATTATAATAATTTCAGTGTCACCAGCCATGGAGATGTTCTAGCACTGAAAGGCTTAGTAGAAGTGGAGTTAAAGTACTGTCAAAACTACTATTACTGCCATTATGACTACAGTACTTAACAGTGATACCTTTATACACTGGACTTCATATTTAAGTGCTGTCCAGCTTTGTGTTTATTGAGTAAAGTGTTGATAGTTGAACTGCCTTTCTTTTGATTTTGATTGTTGACTTACTGTATGTTATATATTCTATATTTTGAGAACTGTAATGTTCAAAATAGCCTGTATTTTAAGATGAAGCATCATATACAGTTGGCCCTGTGTATCCGCAGAGGTTCCTTTCTGGACACACACACACACACCCCATGGATGCAAAAAACTGTGGGATCTCAAGTCTCATGGTTTTCAATGGCTGCTTCCTCGTGTACACACACAGCCATTGGGGGTAATGGGGCTTGCCTTCCATGGATGCTTAAATCCACAAATGATAAGCCTGTGGTTAGAGTAGGTGGGCTGTAATACTTTAAAATAAGTGTTGTTGTTCTTGTTCTTATGTACCTTTAAATTGTTTTTGAGGAGGTTTGCCATTGCCTTCTCCCTGAGGCTGAGAGCATGTGACTTGCCCAAGGTCATTCACTGAGCAGGGAATTGAACCCTGTCTCCAGAGTCGTAGTCCAACAGTCAAACCACTATATCACACTGGCTGTCAAAATAATTATTACTACACCATAACTGTATCTAGTACATTACAAAGTAAAAGAAGCCATAGACAAAGCCTGTTACCCAAGAAATATATAATTTTAGCTGTAAAGTTTCCAGAAAAGAAAGAGACTGTTTTTTAAACTTTTTTATGTATGTTCTATTGGTCAAGTACTCTGTTTGGGACTAAGAAATAGTTCCAGGCCATAGTCATTTTGGTTATAATAGTCATCTTTGTTATAATTGATTTTTAAAATGGTTTTACTTTAGATAGTCCAGATCTTCTCATATTAACATCATATCTACTTACAATCTATATAATATATAACTTTTCAGAGAATATACACGTGTATGTAGAGGTCTTAGTAGACCACAAGCTAAACACAAATCAACAGCATGATGTGGTGGCCAAAAGACTTGATGTAATTGTAGGCTGCATCAATAGGGGATTAGTGTCCAGATTGAGTAAAGCAACAGTGCCACTCTATTCTACTTCCATCACACTTCACCTGGAATACTGTGTGCAGTTCTGGGCACCACCATTCAGAAAGGATATTGACAAGCTATAACAAGATACAATATGTTCAGCAAAG